GAGAGAGAGAGAGAGAGATGATCATCATGTCATTATATCTATAATCATGACAGTGATGAACTTTAGTCTGTGATACAAAGACTCTGATGGAACAACTTGTTCCTTAAATCTTGATCACAAGGTCAAAGTTCAACCCGAGCCCCCCCCCCACACTACAAACACACAGCTCACACACTGGTTTCATGATTCGTGGTTTTCATGATTGTGTGAATCACAGCTGATGTGGAACTGGTCTCGTGTGTTCCACATGTGAAGAAAGCAGCAGGAGATGATCAGAACGACTCAGAATCAAACTTTAACTCAACATGGTAAATGATCTGTATTTATATAAATCCTGTTGGTTCGTCCAGGTTCATTAAATAAATCTGAATTCTTCTCTGAAAAATATCAAACCTTTGTCTCCATATGGATCATTATCATGTTTCTTTTCTTGTTCAACCAGATGAGAGAAAAATCGTCTCAGTTACAGACAGAATGAAAGTTTCTGCTCGACGAACCCAGACTCACAGCATCACTTGGTTTTTTAAATGCACAGTTTCCGTACACGTCCCTTTGATTTTCTTCTCTGAACGTGAGAGAACTTAAACGTCCTGATGACAGATGGACCTCGTCAACCTTCTGGTGTCACTGTGGAATCTGCTGTTACTATTCTCTAGATGATAAACAAGGAAACGAGTCCTGCAGGTTTGAGTCGGAAGGTTTGACTGACTGACACAGCGCCCCCTGCAGCCACACATGGTGAATAATTCACTTGAGCCATTGTAAAAAATGACTGGACTCTGTACTGACACACTGACATTTCCATCCGTCCGTCACAGCAGCTGCACGTCTGTCCTAAATGTCATGACCTGTAAAACATCTCAGGAGCGTGAACATCACTCATGCACACTTCAAGGAGCGTGCACGAGAGCTTGATGTGTCCTTCAGTGTGTGTGTGTGTGTGTGTGTGTGTGTGTGTGTGTGTGTGTGTGTGTGTGTGTGCAGGGGACAGCTGCTTCTCTTGACATGAGACCGACTTCTGGAAAAGTCTGGATTCAAATAAATGCCACATGACTGATGATGTCACATAACTGATGATGTCACATAACTGATGATGTCACATAACTGATGATGTCAATATTCAACCATCAATCTGATTCCCTTTCGTTTTGATGAATCATTTTAAAGAGATCAACCTGTGAGAAGTTGATTTTCTCGATTGTTTGACGATCGTTCGATCAGCTGACTGATCGTCTCATGGTCGCAGCTGAGGTGAGTTGAAGTAGCGCTGCGGTGAAATGTGTTCACCTCGTTGAATACTGTGATGACATGACTCAAGAGAAACGGACAAGTGTATGTGTTACACATGCTTCATCAGTCAATGAGCCACTTCCTGTAACTCCTGAAACCATGTGACTTCAGTGCAGTGCACCATCACACCACGTGTTCCTGACGTATTTCCGACGTGTTCCTGACGTGTTCCTGACGTATTTCCGACGTGTTCCTGACGTGTTCCTGACGTATTTCTGGCCTCGAACTCTTTGAAACAGTTTTGCTGATGATGTCAATATATATAAACAACAATATATATAAACAACAATATAAATAAACAACAATATAAATAAACAACAATATAAATAAACACAATATCAACCAACCGACGGGGGGACAGATTTCAACACAACACCACCAGAGGACGTTAGCATTAGCAGCTAACAGGAGATGGTCGTCACGGTCCGTGTGACACATCATGACCCGGACTCTGAGCTGTTGTTAACGGGGACATTCACCGGGTTTCACGCTGCGGTGTGTTAGCTCCGCTGTTAGCAGCAGCCTCGCTAACATTAGCACGTTAGCATGGCAGCTAGCACCTACCCGGCCAGGCCCCCGAACAGGAACTTCACGGCCTTCGGAGAAGTCCTCGGCTTTGTCTCCGCCATGTTTCCTCCAGGTGGGTCGGAGGTTAGATTCCCGCTGCCTGTGTGCCTCTGGGCCGGACAGTTCACTACTCTGTCCCCGGAGCAGCTGCAGCAGGAGCCGGGACAAGGTGACTCTGTGGAGGGGACACCAGCCGACCAATCAGGAGCCGAGGAGGCCTTCAGGGACCACGCAGAGAGTCGTACATGTCAGAGTCCTGCACTCTGCACATTTATAATAATATAATAATGTGATAATGGAACTACCTAACATGAAGATCGAATTATAGTCTGTACCTGTCTGTCTGTCTGTCTGTCTGTC